ATCAGTACAATTCAGATTAAAAAAGGGAAGCAATGCAGCAGTCAAATGGAGACATTGCACATTTTACATAATCATAAAAACAAGTCAAGACAAAAATCAAAAGAGAAGGTTCAAGTAAACACACATTATACACTGGTTATTATGCTGTAGACTAGTTGCACTCGCCCCTCCTCTACCTCACCTCTACCTCATCTGCAGTGTCAACAAGGCAGTGTCATTTTATCACAGTGCGTTTTATTGAACACTGTAATGTTTTTTTGAGCCATGAGGTGTTCTTCATTTATAATAAACCACATGGTTTCTATACACCTTCCCCAACAACAGAAACTAAAAAACAGATTTGAAAGTAACTGCCTTCACACAGCACCTTAACTAACTCTCAGTTGTGAATAAATACAGAAGAAACTGTTAAATGTGAAAGAGTCTTTTCAAAACCCCTTTAACTCACACAATTAAGAAAAACCATGTTTTTGGATGTAGATCAAAGTAAATACTAATTTTATAATCAGCTCTTTTGAAGTTTTCTTGTAACAGACAATCAAATTATTTTTTAAACATAGGTTTAGCACCTTTCACTCAGTGTGTGAATGTATTTTTTTTTGCATAATTTTCTGTATTTTCTTTTGTTTTGACCATTTGGGAAATGAGAGTGACACACTGCTCTTTTTTGCCCCACTGAAACAGAACCGAAACCTTCAAACAAGATGAAGTGGATCTGGGTTTCGTTTTTAGCTGCTGCTGGTGTTGGAGTGGCTGTCGGCGTCGTCTTCCTGGCAGGAACACTTCTCTGTTTCAGTCAACAAAGAAGAAGGAAAAGAAKCGGTAAGAACAGCAGCAAACTTTCACGTTTAAAGTCTAAATGGGTTTCTCCATCATCCAGGACCATTTGTTTGTATTTTCATCTAGTGAGTCAGGATTTTAAACAATAATGAGGTTTTGAATGCAACAAAATCTTATTTCCTCTGGGTGAAGTTTTAATATCTTTCCACACACATGTGATTTTTATTTATTAAATCAATTCAAAATAAGGGGTAACTAAATTTATTTTCCAATTCTCCTCCTTTTCTCTTTGTTCTCCTTGTTTTAGAGAATTATTTTTATGCAAGGTAAGAAATGTTTGTTTTTCTTCTGTAAGTACATAAGCAGATACGACTGGAAGATGTTCACATATGGCTTCTTGTTTGCATGATAGAGCTTTAAGCAGCATTTCTAGGCAACACACTGAACTGTGTTTACAGACAATAATCAGTGGAAGTGATTCTATTTCATCCTATTTCTTTCATGATTTCTATAGATTCTTGAAATCTTATGATCATTTTATGACCTGTCAATGATATAAGATTTAAATTCTTTCCACTTTCCTAATAAGAAACGTTATTCTGAATTTATTACACTATTTTTGACCCAATCTTTGGCCGACTGATGAACTTCTGTTCATTTCTACTGATGAGAGATATATTTTTAGAACTTCTTAGTTTCAACATGTTTACTATATTTCACTGTGACTAAAATGTGAGTTTATAAGTTTTGCAAAATTTACATTTTACCCAACTTTCTAAGAAGTGGGGTTGTATAACTGTTTGTGTAAAAATTCCACATTTCATTTGCTTTTTCATAGATCACAATCAAACTTTCCTGGTAAAGTATACACATAGTAACCAGTAACATCACAGTATCTATTCTTTATTCACCACATTCACTTTATGTTATCGCTTCTGTTGCAGATGGTGTTGGAAGACTTAATTCTGACCATAACAGAGGGGTATTTTTTTTACATAATATTCATAAACTCTAAAATAGCTAGGTGTATTTGTATGATCATCACTTTCTCTTTTTTTCTTGTTTTAATTTCTGATATGAATCAAGTCACCCATTGAACATGATGGTGGTTACAATATGATCACCTATGTTCCTGCAGTTAACTCTTCGATCGGTGAGTTTTCCCTCAGTTTTTGCAGCAAGAGTTATTTTAAATTAAATTTTAAATTTTTTTAAAATAAATAAAATGTCTTGGCCCAAATATGATATGATTTACCTATTGCCTCAGTCCTTTTTTATTTCATTTGACAGCAATAAATCATCATGCACCAAAATGTGAAATAAAAAAACTTGTCAGTTTTTAAATATTTTTGTCTGTTTCGTGCAGAACTTCAGCCGATGAAGAGACAAACCTACACTGAGAACGTAAACAGAAGCAACTAAAATTTCTGTTTATTCTGTATYAATGTGCATTTTATTATGTCTTTAAATATGTTCATCATTGAAAGCTTCTGTTTTTCTCCTTTACAAGTCTGTTGGTTACCACGTCTACGCCACCATCAACGATGAACCAGCATCCACCCTGCCAGACACAATGTACTGCACTGTGCAAGCACACTGAAACAAACAAGGACTGCATGTGCAAAATAGAAAATCTTTGAGACATTAAAAGTGATTATGATTATTAAATAATCATTATTTATGTTAGAATGTCATGTGTTTTATGTTTGTCTACAAATTTATTTCAGTAAATAAACAGTGAATGTTGCACAAAACAAAAATCTCTCATTGTTTTCAATTTCCCTTTCTTCCTGTTTTCACTCAGAACTCCAGGGTTTGTATAATGAGTTAAAGCTTTGGGCTCATAGAAAAGGTTAGGATAAAAATAGCGCAGAAACAAACTGTGAAGGTAAACTTATTAACAAAAACTTTAAACCTGTTTACTGTTTTTCTCTCAAACTAAAATGACATTTTTTCAGTCTGAGTGTTTCTATTTGGAGTTCTTTATCCTATAATTTTAATTGCAACATTCTTTAACACAAGCAGAATAAATCTATAATATTATGATTTATGAATACAAGAAGCATTCATATGACAGAGACATCCGAGGTGAGATAATCTAACATGTTCTCATGTCAGACTGTAACATGACATCAATTGACGCTTGGTCAAGAATCATTATGTTGACGCGGGGGGGGGGGGGGGGGGGGGGGG